CATATCCAAAAATTATAAACTATGGCTATTTTGAAATTTATAATAAAATCCTAATATTTAATTTTTAATGTCTATTCCAAAAAGTTGTATGTATGACGATTGTTCTTTTACTTTTTATTTTGTCTCATGTTTTTTTTTTTTTTTTTTTTTTAAAAAACAGGTCAATCACATTGATTTTTTTTTTTTTACTTTTAAAAAGTTAGATTTCTTACTTTTTAATTACATTTATTTTTTACTTTTTAAGTTCTATATCTTAAGTTCTGTATATTCTTATTCAGAAAAAAAAAAAAAAAAAAAAAAAAACCGCGGTAAAGCATTTGTGGCTTCATGAAATTATGATTAAGCTTTCTAAATCGAGTGATATGGCTACGTTGTTCGAACAAAAGAATTTACGTTATCTTAGAGGTTGAATTATAAGTTTTCAAAGTATACAAATCAAGAAGGATATAATAATCACCACGATTTTACCATAAAAACCAGCCACCGGCCAACAGAACGTATAGATGACCTACCATATGCCTCTACGAAGAGCACGTGCATACAAACCATGTGCTACCAAAGCATTTGCAACTTCATCACATCTTGTTATGTACGAAAACAAGGCTTCATACCTAAAGCTTCAACTTAAAAAATAGAGAGATAGATTGATAATATTAAAGAAATAAAATAAAATAAAATAAAATGGTGGGTGTGTAAAAAGAAAAATGAAGTGATTAAGAATTAATAATCTTATGCCTTAAAAAAATTAATAATTTAATGAAAATAATTAGGATAATTTTGGAATAATTAAGGTGTGTAGAAACTAAATTTAATCATTTAAAATTTATGTGGGGTGTGTAATTTAAAAGAGAGTGTGAAGAGTAAAAAGGGAGTGTAAATAAAACCATCCTTTACAAAAATACATTAATCAATAAATAATTAGAAATACAATAATAATTTGAAAATCATAAGAAAATAATTACCTAACAATCAGTGTTTTAAAGTCGTCGCCTATGTCATGCCGTAGCGGATCCAACCATATGATCGAGTCCTCCTAATGGGCAATGTTCAATGACGACTATCATCCAATCATTAATTTCCTCTATTTTACCACATATGATATCGTCTACCTTGTGACGTGTATATAATAAGACTATGAAGGTTCTTGGCTCATTCCAAATGTGTGTGGTCTAATCTATTTGTAGTGGCAAGAAGACTAGGGGGCAGTTTGGCACTGGTGTGTTTCTTAAAAAAAATTTATGTCGTCGTGCTATTAGTTAATCATAAGTTGTTTTGATCAGAAGTATACAGGTGTTTGATAAGTTTAGAATTTAGGTATTTAGTAAATTATGTATAAAATTATTGTGGAGATGTACAATGACTAACATAAACATATTTTTACACACATATTAAGGATAATATTGATAATATTTTTTTACACTGTAATGCTAAGCATATATAATTTTAATTTTATTATTTAAAATATTGCTAAAAAAATAAATTACTAGATCCCTTATTTATTATTGTTATTATTTAAAGCATTTTGATATTTTATTAAAAATATGAGTACCCTCTATTTTTTTCTCTCTCTCATCAGGAGGCTAGGGTTTTGAGTTTAGGATCTCTTCTTAGGGTCGGAGTCTAGCACTGCCACTGGTTAGTCTCCAGACTCTTGGCCTTTGAGATGGTGGCTGAGGTCGTACATGTATGGTCAGTGGTTGATGGGCACGGTCTATTAGCGTTGGAGGTATAGATCTCGTGACTGGCGGGAGGTTGTTGGTAGATATATGTAGTGTAAGGGCATTGTTCCAGTTGTTTTTGCGTTTAATTTCGTCGGTGGCGGTTGCAATTTTACTGCGACAGCTTTGCTCAAATCCCGTTTTTTTGACTTCCGTACAATGGTTGTTTGCTTGTTGTGGACATATGTCCCTGTATGGCTGAGGCTGTTTGTAGGCTTCATAGGATTTTGTTAATTTTAATAAATGTGTTGTGCTTGCCAAGTTTATGTATTGTAATAACAGAGGTTGTTTCTCCACTTTTTGATTTGTTTATGTGTTCCACTCATCTGAGTTGGTTATCGACAGTGTGTGTTTATTTACACCTAGATTTATTTGTAGGCCGTGTTGCTTGTGTCCTCAGTATCAGGGGTTTGTTCTTGGTTGACTGGTTTTATCTATTGACTATAGTAGTTCTTCTTAAGGAGCTTTGGTTACGCTTTATTTGTTTTGTGTTTACTAGGTCTTTCCTCATTAGGTCTTAACACTTGTGTTTATTTTTATGCTTTATCCGTCTTCATTGATGAATCGTCTTGACACTACGTATTTTTCAAGGAATTGTTACAAAACCATAATAGGCCGTTCTTTCCTGTCATTTATAGAGAGTTATTTAAAAGAAAATGCTGCCTTATTATTGCTTCTTATCTTATATTTTTTTCCATCCTCAGTGGGATGCTCTTGCATTGGCCACTACTTCTGGAAATGGTGCTTAAATTCTTTATCAAGTTTTGACACCATATATGATACTTTTATACTCTCATGTTTCGTTAAGATATATTATATCTTCGTTTAGCAATCTGAAACTCTAATTCAAGGTTGATTCAAACAATTCACAACTACTAATTTACTACTGCATGAAGCCAAATAAATGAAACCTTGACTCGATCGTTTACATGACTTCAACTTATTTGTCCACATATATATATAAATATATATATATATATATATATTCACTTACTAGCCATGAAAAATATAAGATTTGTAGCCAATATTAACAATTTAAAATATATATAGATGTACTAAGAACATAATTAACACTCAAATTGTTTATATTAACCGTAACAACACATATCTGAGTGACATTTTCACTAAATAAGGAACACGGGGATTAACTCGAACACGACATGAAAGTGTAAGTCGACACGAACATGGACCAAATTGCCACCCCTTGGATATATTATGAAATTAAGGTCATCTTAACCGATTCAAGTAGAAAAGTTGATGATCATGAGGAACTGGCTATTCAACAACAATTGAAATATATTGATATACATGTAAAATGATTTCCTTCTTAGTTACGCCATCGATTTTTTTTTTCAATATTTGTTTTTTGTTACTTGGAGATTTTATGAAAATATTTCTTTTATTTTTATTAGTTGGGAATATCTCTGGGGTTGACACATACGGATAGAATCAGTTTTTCTAACCGCTGGGCATACTTTTCAATATGTGACTTTATGCAAATCCAATAACTTGAAATTCTGGTCGTTGTATAGGCCTACTAAAAAAGCTCTCTTACAAGAGAATATGCAGCTATTCTTTGTGACTTTTAAATAGAATTGTAATGTTATTTAAAACAAACTGTTTTTAAAATGAAGTATTAAAACGGATACCTTGTGTAATTAGTTCAACATATTCAAAATGTCAACTTTTTCATTGCGTTTAAGGTACGCTGTCAATTAAGTCGAATTTTTAAAAGGGTCACAAACAATTAATTTTCTAACAAATAGAATTGTAATATTATTTAAAATAAGCAGTTTTTTTATTAACTTTAAAATAAGCAGTTTTTAAAATGAAGTATTTAAATTGACCCGTTATGCACTTAAAAAATATGCAAAAAGCCAACTTTTGCGCTTCCATTGTTGACAAAAGTACACTCTTAAATAACTCGAATTCTAAGAGGGTCTCAAACTATTATTATTATTATTTTTTTTGAAAAAAATAGAACTGTAATATTATTTTAAATAAACAGTTTTCCAATTGAAGTAAAATGGATAAATTACTTCAAGAATATAATTATTGATCAATATTCAACTTAATTACTGAATCACTTTGGGTTTAGGTGCCTCGTTTTTTTATGTCAAAACTCTTCAGACTATATGTGATTGTATTTTCGCATTAGAATTTAATGTATTAACTCTTTTCCCTTCATTAAATATGAAGTTTGTTTTTCTTAATGTTGCACTCCCATGTCGCGATAAGAATTGTCATTCCACATTACCTCTGAGAAGCACAAATTGCTTTCACTCCTTTCACTTATTATTGGGTAGTCTTTTATTATTTTGGGGGTAGCTCCAATGATTCAGGAGTAAACAAAATGTTTTTGTTCAAAATAAGTGTGCAAAGTTATTTCTAAGATTGTCTTCTTGTCAACGATTGTCATTTTACTTGGGCTTTTGGCTACGCTTTTGGCTACGCCATGAAGTGTTCGTGTCGACTAATCTACTTTTTATTGTAGTGGGAAGAAAGAGTGTGTTTCTATTTTATAAATCAAAGCCACCTTTTCATTTATTCCCCACTTGAGTTTATTATTAGAGCAGGGTTAGTTCTGAATTTTGAGTATAGTAACATTTTGATCTCTAAACTTTTAATATTGGCATATTAGTCTTTAAACGTATGTTATATTTTGACAATTTTGGTACTGACACTAATATTGATAAAGGATTTCTCAATGATGTGGAATGACAAGTTTTCATTTTTGGTTGTAGTATCCATCGCTTTTGATGGCTGAAAATTTTACAAAAAGAGTTACGTTATATGTAAATTTTTCTCTAATTAGTAGAAACTAATATATTTTGCACTTCCCATAACTGTTTATGTAAAATTTCTAGCCATTACCAAAATTATCAAAAGTCAATAGTTAAGTCCAAGAAACAAAATATCACTATAATTAAAATTCAAGGACTAAAAGTGCCAAACCCCTTATATGCCTCGGGGCCTATTTCGCTTTTGAATTTTGCATGTTGCGTACCGCTTTGTAATTTTATTATTATTTTTCTAATGAATTTTAGTATATTAGGTTCACCGGATGTGTCTGCTCTGTTGATATTTATTTATATCCACTTATCAGGGAGGAAAAAGAAAAGAAAAAAAGATAATTGAGTAAAATGTGTAGAAAGTGCCTCTCAATTCCAACAACGTACGGTTCTATCTGGAACTGAAAAGGCTATAAATACTACTCAGTTTTCAATGAACAGGTACAAAAATAAGATTCTTCTTTTCTGTCGTTTGCACACAGATTAAAAAATGGCTGCTTTATTCCTGCTTCTTATCTTATTTCATTTTCAACCTCCGTGGGATGCTCTTGCATTGGCCCCTACATCTGAAAATGGTGCTTAAATTCTTGATCAACTTTTGATATGTCATATTTTCTCTCATGTTTTGTTTAAGATATATTATATCTAGGTTTTACACTATGAATTTCTCATTCAAGGACGAACGAAACAATTAATCAACATGATTAGCTTACTCTGTTGTCGCTGCATCAAGCCAACAAATGAAATATATAAAAACTCGTTTACACTTCAACTTTTGTTTATATAGTATACATGATATGTGCAGACTTCAGTTACATGAAAGTTGTATCCAACGCCACCAACCTCCCTCGCTCGGCAGAATATGACTACATCGTGATCGGAGGTGGCACCGCTGGCTGCCCTTTGGCGGCGACTTTGTCGCGAAACTACTCGGTGCTTCTCCTGGAAAGAGGCAGCGCTCCGTCGACATACCCTGAGGTCCTACAGGCAGACCAAGCAGAGGCTAATCTCCTCAATGACGACGACGGCAAAAATCCAGTCCAGAAATTCAAGTCGGAAGAAGGCGTCGAAATCGCAAGGGGAAGAGTTCTTGGAGGAAGCAGCATGATCAACATAGGCTTCTATTCCAGAGCCGAAAAGGAGTTCTATCCAAAATCAGGCATTAATTGGGACTCTGATGTGGTTGAGAAGGCGTATCAATGGGTTGAAGAGACGATTGTTCACCGTTCGGATTTGCTTCCTTGGCAATCCACCTTCAAAGATGCTTTGTTGGAAGCCGGGTTGGTTCCGGATAATGGGTTCACTTTGGAGCATATTGTGGGAACCAAAGCTTCGGGTTCATTATTCGATGGGTTAGGAAGGAGACATGGAGCTGTGGAGCTGCTTAATAGAGGAGATTTTAGAAATTTGCGAGTTGCGGTTCGTGCATCAGTGGAGAAAATCCTTTTCACTCGCACCAAAAGAGGAGGTATTTTGTCATGAGAGACACAATATATATACTTATATATTATGCTTGTGCTATATATGGTCTGATTGGTTATACAACGTAACATTAACGTAACATTAACGTTAGAGAGGCGTATCGCCATCTAAATTCACAATCTGTGAGGTCTTAAGTTCGATGAGACAAAAATGAGTGATTTTTAAAAGATGACAATGTAATTCATTTCATATAGATATTTTATCATGAGAGACACAATATATAAAAATAAATAAATAAACTGTATATAGAAGTTGAACCCAAACTTTCTTTTTTTTTAAAAGAGGATCAGTCCTTAAATTTTTCATTTTTTTTTTGTAGGTTAAAGTTGAGAAAAAATTGTTGAAATTTAGTAGAGATAATCATATATCTATCGTGTACAATAACATGAATTTGTTATTGTATTCTTAACGAAAAGGAAAAAAAAAAAAAAAAAAAAAAGATTGCGTAGGTAAAGTGCAAAACTACGTTCCGTAAATAGAGCATGTTATATCTTATGCAACTTTTTAAATTTTCGTGAAAATTTCAATTTATGGAGCCTAAATTCAACAAGAAAAAAGAAAAAAAAAAAAGCTTAAATTCAGGGGCGGCTTATGCATGTTTGGGGCTTTAGGCAAAAATTTTAAACGAAGCCTTTTTCAAAGTTATTTATTTTTCATTAAAAAAATCAATTACATCGATGTAAATCAATTTTGCTTGTTCGAGATACAAAATTATTAATGAGTTTCAAACAATTAATCAATTGAAGAAGCTTCTAAGATTTTTACCATTTATTCTTAATTTTTACCATTAAGAAGAAGAAAGAAAAAGAAGATGAAGAAGATTGGCGAATTCACCTTTTAAATGTATTGTTTTAATATTTTTACCATTTACTATTGATTAATACCTTTTGAGTACTAATATAGTGTTTTGAGTAAAATGATATTAATCAATTGTAAGGGAAAAAAAAATTCAAGATCCTTGCATTCTAACGAGTATTTTTCTTCTTTTTCGTTGGGTTGAAGGACTAACAACATCTAGATTCATAATTTGTGAGTCGTTGACTTTTTAAGTGCCAGAAACTGATATAAAAATGATGGTTTTTCTATTTTTTATGAGAATACAACGATTCATTTCATATTAAGAGAAGCAAAAAGCTTATTGTCTTTTAGAAAATATGCACTTCTTTTTCATAGTTGATACATAAAACTTTATTTCCCTTAAACTATGGCAACTTAATGCTTATTTTCACTCTACATGAGTTACAAATCTATTTTCACTCTCTAATAGTGCCTCCATATCTTAATGCTTATTTTTGTAATGAATGTGAAGCACTTGTTTTTTTCAAACCATAGATCGGATTTCATCCTTCAAACATACATACAAGTGTGTGTGTTTGCTATTTTCGAATTATTTTTTAATTATTTATATATTTCTTTTGTTTTGAACTAAATTTATTTATTGTTTTGGCACTAAATTTCCTATCATACGTACGTACGTTAGTACTATTTTTCCTCCTTTAATTTTGTCTTGTACTAGCTAGCTAGTTGGAAAGAGTCAATGCATAAACTTTAGGAATTAAAACGTATGTGTTTGTCAACATTGCAAATGATTTCAAAAATTTGGTGGCTGTCTGTCTAGGATCTTCTTATATATATATATATATATGAATTAAGTTTAATTTACATAAAAACGTTTAAAGTAAATGTTAGCGTAATTAAATTCAATTGTCCCCAGTTAATTATCACAATATTATCGTAACGTTATTGTGGTGTGATAATTTGGTGTTTAGGTGGATTCATAGATCTGAAAACAGCTAGCTGTGCTGATTAGATTGCTAATGGGTAGTCTTGCGGAGGTGGCTCTCTCCGGTCATTTTGTTTTATCTTTTCTTGACTTACTTTCAATAAGGATTTTATTCTCGAAAAAGAATAATAAATGTTAAGAGAAGATTTTAATTAATTACGCAATAATCAACCATGCAGGTTTGGCTGCAAACGGAGTCCAATACAGGGACTCCAGAGGGATGCCTCATCGGGCGTTTGTACGTGCCAAGGGAGAGGTCATTTTAAGCGCCGGTGCAATCGGAAGCCCTCAGCTTCTCCTTCTCAGCGGCGTCGGCCCAGTTTCCGACCTCTCCTCTCAGCTCATACCCGTCGTTCAACCCCAACCTGACGTCGGAAAGTTTATGGCCGACAATCCTCGAAGCAACATTGGCATAGTAGTGCCATTTTCGCTTAACGCCTCATATGCACAAGTTGTGGGAATCGCAACTGATTTTTACATAGAGTCTCTTTCTACCATAAAGCCCTTTGCATCCCTTACAAAACCTTCTGGCGTTTACGGCAATATATCTACTCCGATCGATCTGAGTGTTGTATTCCTCGCTAACAAAGTCCCCGGCCCCTTGTCCATCGGTTCCCTTGCACTCGCGTCGCGTAATAATGTGAGTGTTGGTCCAAAAGTTCGATTCAACTACTTTTCAGAACCGGAGGATCTTGCGCGTTGCGTTAAGGGGATGAGAAAAGTTGGCGATATGTTAAGGACCAAGGCATTTGCAGCCCTAAAGTTTGATAAGAATGCACAAGGCGAAAACGGGTTTAAGTTCGTTGGTCCCACTTTACCGGTGAACTACCGGACGGATAATTCGTCTTTGGAAGCGTTTTGCCGGAGCAACATCACGACATGGTGGCATTACCATGGCGGGTGTCGTGTGGGGAAGGTTGTTGATGGTGATTTTAGATTTACGGGGATTAATGCACTTCGTGTGGTAGATGGATCAGTTTTCACTAGCTCACCTGGGACCAATCCTCAGGCTACCCTTATGATGATAGGCCGGTAAGTCTTGTATTAGTGAACAAAAAAAAGTGTTTTCTTTTTTTTCTTTTCCTTTTCGATATATATCAATTCTTCTTGCTTTCTAGAATGTTTTTAAGAAAGAATATTTTAAGTTAGTAATAAGTCTTTGCCCCCTAGGTTTGAGTTTTGGCTATACTTCCATTTTTTTTTTTTTTTTTTTTTTTTTTTAATCTATGTAATCGTAAGGTAGTAATAAGTCTTACAAAAGCCAGGCTTTTGTATTGTTGGGTTAGGAAAAAAAATCAACCCAAACACATCATACCGAAGCTTTAATATTGTGTGGGCTAAGCAGTAATATTCCAACCTAACTGTAATGTACTTAATAAGACCGATACTACCACTATCGTTATTTAAAAACTATCATGTTGTAATTGTTCCTCTTTGACTTCATTTGTAAAAAAAAAATATATACAAAAGAAAAAAAGTAATTTATATGTCTAACTTTTAATAAACTTATATGTCTAACTTTTGATGTGCCCTTCTTCTTCCGTTTTTTTCGCCCCCTAATTTTTCTTCTTGTTGTGTGTTTGTTAACAGGTATGTTGGGCTTAAAATGCTTCGGCAGAGAGCGACTTGAAAATAAAAAGGCTGCGGGCAGTTCAACAATGGCAGATCAAATAAAGTCACTCCCCTATATATCAGTTCAATTGTTTTCGTATGTCATAGAGTGGAAGAAGTAATTCATTTACTTCCGGCCAATGCCTGGAAATCTTCATGAAATCTAAACCTATAGCTATGAAGATTTATTACAATATCTCTAAGAATGCATCTTAAACATTGTATATCATCCGTTTATTTTTTGTGTCGTATAAGATCAAAAAACAAACAATGAAATACCACAAAGAAGCCATCAACTCATTTTTTTTTTTCAGAACAGACGGTGTTGTGGAATACGAAGTACTGCTCGTTGGACTCAAGAGATTGAATGCGCAGAGCGACACTCAACTAGTGATTGGATAAATTATATCATTAGAGTACGTTTTCTATGATGACAAAAAAAGTTATCAATGGCATATCTGTGAGTCCAATTTAATAGTTTTCATTTGAAATTTAATAGTGACCATTTATAAGATACTTTTTAAATTTAGAAACTAATACGACAAATTAACAATAATACTGAGAATTTTAGGATTATTCATAAATTTATTCTTTTTCAAAAAAAAAAAAAAAGCTAAGCTGAGGTGTGGGAAGTTTACTTTTTCATAAATGGGTGGTGATGATATAGTCCTATGTACTCTACTACTACTGTGAAATCATAAATGGGCGGTGATGATAGTCCTATGACTCTACTACAACTACTACTACTACTAATAGGTGTTCTTTTACATTTTTAAATTAGATATTATTGAGTAAAGATTTTGAGTTGAATTTGAGTTATAACTTGAGTTAAAGTTGTAACTTGAGTTTGTGTTTGATTGTGTACATTTGAGTTATGGTTTGAGATAAAAATCTTTTTAAATTTGTGTTTGAGTGAGTCAAAACTTGATATTGTATTTAGATAATATTTTAATAAAAACTCAATGATGATGGAATATTTTAATAGGGTATATGGGTGAAATTTTATTCGTCTTTTCGTTGTCAACGCATAGAAAAAAAAATCATCTCAATCAGAATTAAAACGAAAAAGTTATAATATTTTTAAGACTAAAAAAAATATTGTTCATTAATTTAAGTTTGAGTTTTTGAACTCGAGTTGAAAAGGAAACTTAAACTCGAGTTTTAGTCTCAAACTCGAATTCAAACTTAAAAGAACGTAAACTTAAATAAAATTTTAACTCAAATTTTTTTTTTGTGTTTTTATGACTGCCGAACAACCCTAATGTGCAGAGCGACACTCAACTAGTGATTGGATAAATTAAGAACGTTTTCTATGATGAAAAAAAGTTATCAATGGCATATCTGTGAGTCCAATTTAATAGTTTTCTTTTGAAATTTAACATAGTAACCATTTATAAGATACTTTTTAAATTCACAAACTAATACGACAAATTAACAATAGTACTAATTCTAGAAATGAAAAATTTTGGGATTGTTCATAAATTTATTCTTTTTTTAAAAAAAAAAGTTAAGCGTCATGAATGGGCATTGATGATAGAGTCCTATGTACTGTAATAATAGCAGCAGCAGTAGAAACTAATACGACAAATTAACAATAGTACTAATTCTAGAAATGAAAAATTTTGGGATTATTAATAAATTTATTCTTTTTCAAAAAAAAAAAAGAAGTTAAGCATCATAAATGGGCGGTGATGATAGAGTCCTATGTACTGTAGTAGTAGTAGTTCTTGAGTGGCATTCTTAAGTAAAGATCTTGACAATATTACTACTATGAATAAGTGTTCTTTTGCATTTTTGAGTTAGGCATTCTTGAGTAAAGATCTTGGCACCGTTAAAGTATTTTTTTATAGTCCGTTTAGTTCACGTATTTAAATTAATATTTTAATTCTTAATTTAAATTTTGTGAGGAAACTCATTAGTGAGAACTTTTTTAATTCAACTTTTTTAAAAAAAAAAAAGAAAAATATTGTAACAAAACATTACGACTACTACTACGAATAGGTGTTCTTTTACATTTTTGAGTTAGGCATTCTTGAGTGAAGATCATGGCACAACAACTACTACTACTATTACTAGGTGTTCTTTTACATTTTTGAGTTAGGCATTCTTGAGTGAAGATTATGGCACAACTACTACTACTACTACAACAACAACAACAACAACAACTACTATTACTACTACTAGGTGTTCTTTTGCATTTTTGAGTTAGGCATTGTTGAGTGAAGATCTTGGCACCGCTAAGGTCTTTTTTTATAGTCCGTTTAGTTAACGTGTTTAAATTAATATTTTGATTCTGAATTTAAATTTTGTGAGAAAACTCATTAACGAGAACTTTTTAATTCAACTTTTTTTTAAAAGAAAAATATTATAACAAAACAACACGACAAATTAACAATAGTACCGACTCTAGAGTGAAGAATTTTGGGATTGTTCATAAATTTATTCTTTTTCAAAAAAAAAAAAAAGGTTAAGCTGCTGCTACTACTATTGCTGCGGCTGTTGTTGCTGCTGCTGCTACTACTACTACTACGACTACTGCTGCTGTTGTTGCTACTACTACTACTGTTGCTGCTGCTGCTACTGCTACTACTACTACTGCGACTACTACTACTACTGTTGTTGTTGCTGCTGCTGCTACTACTATTACTACTACTACAACTGCTATGCTGCTGTTGTTGTTACTACTGCTACTGCTCCTACTGCTGCTGCTACTACTACTGCTCCGACTGCTGCTACTACTCATACTACTGTTACTACTGCTACTGCTACTACTGTTACTACTGCTACTGCTACTGCTGCTACTGCTACTATTGCTGCTACTGCTACTACTACTACTAGTGCTACGACTGCTACTACTACTGCTTCTACTACTGCTACTACTGCTACTACTGCTACGGCTACTACTACTGCTGCTCCTACTGCTACTACTGTTACTACTGCTATTGTTGCTGCTACTACTACTAAATGTACTTTTACATATGCTACTACTAATAGGTGAGTTAGACTACTACTACTATTACTATTACTAGATGTTCTTTTGCATATACTACTACTAATAGGTGAGTTGGACATTCTTAAGTGAAAATCTTAACACCGCTAAAGTCTTTTTTTATAATCCGTTTAGTTCACTTGTTTAAATTAATATTTTAATTCTGAATTTAAATTTTATAAAAAAGTTATTAGTGAAAATTTTTTTAATTTAACTTTTTTTTAAAAAAAAATATTATAATCATGTTTTTAAACACTTGAGCCAAAGCCTGACGTGTGAACATTGTAGGGTCACGAGAGTGCCACTTTTACTTGTGTCAGCTATTCTCCCAGTTTCTCTTGCGTTTTATGATTACACCGAGTGAGGTAAGCGACAGTTGAGGCAACGTTAATTTCAATGATACAACGGGTTGTTTTGTAATTATCTGCCCGAAGTTTTTAAACAAGAACCTGAGGAAGATAGCAGTAACTAGGGGCATTGCTATTTGTAACTATTGCAACTTTTTGGAATTCGTGTACGAACATATTTTAAAAATATTATAACATCTACATATTAACTCTGATTTAGATCTTTTTTTTCTCATTATACTAGTAGCATTGAGCTGAACAAAACAAGATCCATATTGGATAGGGACTTTTCATGTAACATTGTCATATTAAATAAGTAAGCTACTACATATTGGACATAAGATGACAATTAAAAACCGTCTGCAAAACGTATGACGATAGTTTGGCAAACCGTCGTTTTATCCTGTGATGATCTTTATTTTTATCAGCATTATTACGTTCGTACTTAGTTCATTTCTAAACTTTTACTATTTTTTCACTATAAACTCCTAAAATTTAGGCAATTTTTTTTTCCTTCAATAGTAAATTTGATACTAATATGCTTTAATGAAACAAAACTTCAATCAATAATTCATGTAAAACTCGAATATCAAAAATACTTTTCTGAAAACATTTTTAACTTTTTAACATTGAATAAGTTATAGATAAAATTCTTTTAAGACTTTAAAATTTGCTCCTAGGCGTGGACATACATTCAACTTACCGTTTGCATTCCACTGCCGTTCATATGCTACAACATGATAGCACTTTAAGTACTTCATCATACTTCGTGACTCGAAGTTGCTAAGCATAGCCTCGTAGTCTCATATACATTTCTTTCATTTCATAACTTACATATTCTTACATCAAAAGTATTATTTACTTTATAAACATAGCAGCGTTTTCAAAACACGTGGTGTATCCATTTCGCGCTTGCCTACGTCCCACTGCTTCATCCTTTTTTGCACTCCCAGAAAATAGATTTCAAGGAGCCGGTGCCTTACCCGAGCTTCCTACAACACGAACAAACATGATGAGTTTTCGCTCAGCAAATAACGGCAATTCACAATAAATACCAACAGTAATGCAAACCCATATATGCATTCATATAATACATCCTAACACATTTCGTAAACATTTAAAGCGCTCATCATATTATGCTTCCTTTTCTTTCATATTGTGCTTTCTTTCTTTCGTTCCATACTTCTTGACATCTTTCGTTTTTGTGTCATTCATTTTTCATAACTATTACTTCTTATGGGCCTCATCATGTTATACCGTTACACACATACTCAATGAGGAGTGAGAGAGCTACCCAAAACTAACTCACCCATGATTTTATTCATAAGAACCTATCTTGCGAAGGCCAGTACAAATAATTTTATTAGCTTTTATCATTTATCATCTTTACTTTATACATCGTCTTACTGTCATCATTTCTTATCATGACAGTAATTTTAATCTTATCAACTTACTGTCATTTTCTTTCTTATTATGACAGTAATTTTAGTCATATTTTTTCATCTTTAAACATTTCTACCAATTTCCTATGAAATTAGACTTTATTCAAATGTTTGACTTTTGTTAACTTTTCTAACTAAATTTCAGCAGAATTCCGCTTAATTTTCGGGTTTCCTAAGCTAACCATAACTCGTTTTATCCATGATTTCAACCTTTCAAACACATCACATAATCATTCTCATTCCTATTTATCATCATAAACATCAAAATCTCTAGGGTTCTTTCAATAT